TTTTCGGTCTCTCCCTCCCTCTGCCCTTCCTCGTGCATCGATTGACTTTCCGAGCATTCTGGTATCAGACATCGAACGGGACTTATATTCTCTGACAGGCGTTGAATTATTAACGTCGATAGTACGCCAGATTGCCCACTGCTGCCAATCTTAAGTCCGATTATGTCTTTCCTCTATGGATTGGAGTGCGTGAGGCCGCTCCTCACCGTTGTCTCCCTTGGTTGTGATTATTTAAGTCATCATGGCAACTTAAAAGTCTTGGCGTGGTAGCCTGTCATCTCGTAAAATAATTCGTTCTTGGAGATTGAGGACCAGACTTTGATTATCCATTTTTAGTGGGTTCCTATGACATCCGAGTGGGTTAAGCGGGGTTTAGTCGATGCTGATGATCAGGCCTGAGTGAAACGCGTACTACGACAGCGAAATATCTCGTCATCAGATCTAGTTTCCTGTCGACTTGTCTCAGTTTTGCGAAAAATGTGAGCGGGAGCGAGTGGGAACGATGCTGTGCAATTTTTCTGCGTTAAAATCAATTTAACGCGTAATTACGCACTATCCCCTCCTTTTCGGGCATGATGGATGACTCATCCTATATTCCAGGTAGTACCGTGTCCTTGCAAGTATTGCTGCTTATACATTCGAGATGCCACAAGCGAGGTTGAGAAATTTTCTCGATCAGCAGTTGGTCTCAATCGCACATTCGGACTCCTGGAATAGACCCTTAACTGAAAAGTATCGGCAGCAAACAGAAGGGGTGACGCCTTCCCGGAGAGTCCTTAGCCTACTACAAACAAAGTGACCTTCGCGACAACTTAACGCTCTGGCCTGGATTTTTCACCTGGCGTAATGCTAGGTTTGGGAGACGATATTACGGTTGCAAGGACTTTTTAAATGTGACTTTCAACTGCTCAAAAATATTAACTGCGCCCACCCTGCAACGCGAACGCTCAACCGTCCCCATGCCATCGTGACTATATTTTGTGCTGACTGTATATGATTGTACTTATACTCTTAGCCGTACATCAATAGGGTTACCTGGGGCTCCGCCCGTAACCCACAAATTACACGCATACATTCACTGCCCTTTTTAAGGCGTTTTCTGAGAACTCTCATGCATATAATTGGGATGTTCACTTAACTTGTGTTGTGATGGCCTACCGGGTTCACATGCATTCTTTAATAGGCGATACCTGTTCTGTGTGTCGACCGGTCGCCGCTCTCACCTACTCACCGACGCCAACCTTCTCATGCAACCAATGAACACCAGAAATTGCGTGAGCGAGCTCCGTGAATTATTACAAACAAAATAACATTTAACACACCTAGAGTAACTACAGCTTACATCAAACAAAAAGAGTATTTTGGCCGACATGGTGGCTCGACCATTGTTGCCCTCCGTGTGCTCCTCCTCCTCCTCCTGGGCCCGATGTCGAGACACTATGAGCACTATAAACAATCTGACGCGCTTGGAGCTATCACAATGCGCTGAAAGCAGTGGCTTGGACCTCGCAGTCCGCACAGGGTTGTGTGTTTGTGCGGAATGGCCGGCTAGTGGTCTAAGGATCAGGCTGCAATGGCTCCTTCTTAATGTGAAGACATAAAGTTAACAATCGGGAGAGGGCACCCAAGTGTCCGTTGCCTAGAAATAATACCTGATGTACCTATTTGAGTAGGTTATGGCCCTACATATTTGTTGTTTCATTCGACCTCAGTTTTATCTGATCTGTAGTGAACATGTTGCCTCACTTAGATTACCACGGTCTCCAACAGTTGAGATGCAAACGCTGCAGACCGAGCCATGGTTAATCAACCTTCACCTAGGCTTACACGACTGAAGGGTGATAGCAGTAGTGTGTTTGCGGCTAAATCTACCCTTGCATACCTTAGGAGAGTTGAGAAACGATCGCTGTAGACCGACCATAGGTTTGCCATCTTTCACGTATGCTTGCTTAGGTCACGAGTGGCGAAATTAGTTCGTTTGCGACTTACTTTAGAACAACATAGCTTAGGAAAGTTGGGTAATGTTCGCTTTAGACAAATCCTATGTTTACCAACCTTAACATTAGCTTCCAGAGCTGAAGAGCGGGCGCAGTATTCGATATGCGGCTTAATCTGTGGTAGCATACGTTCATACACTGACGATGCGATCGTTGAGAATCGGCCCTTTGGCTTATACCTTATGTTTATTTCTTCCTTAGGTGAGGAATGACCGCAGTTGTAGGTATGCGGCTCAATCTATGGCACCATACCCTTTGGAAAGTTGCAAAACAATCGCCGTAGACCCACCCTACGTCAAACAACCTTAATATAAGCTTCCACTTCTGACAAGCGACCGCAGTAGTCCCTATGCGGATTATTCTATAGTAGCTTACCTACGGACAATTGCAATACGTTCGCCGTTGACAGGGCACTTAGATTATAAATTTTTACCATTACTTCCAGAAGTCAGGAGCTGCCACAGTCGCCAGCGTGCGGCTCAGTCAATGGCCGCATAGCTTAGAACAGTTAAGATAAGATCGCTGCTTTGGCCGACAGTATTCTTTTGGGTGCCCTCTCTCTATTGTTACCGACATAAACACACATACGACAGTTCAACCGTCGTCTCCGACGATGTTGTGCTCCACAGCAAGGTGAGGACAGACACAATGACTTGTGGTAGGAGACTTACACGGCATCTACCGCATTCTCTCCCCTCCCCCACCTGAACCCCGTATCAAGACATAGTCAGGAACACCCGAAGCAGGAGATGACGTAGGTGGCTCGCACGGCCGGACTTGCACCCTGATGTACTTTCACACCCCTTGGTATACAACGAACACTTACTTCGGTTTTTAGCCAGCAACAACAGCAGGAGTGCCGATTGACCGTCTCAGCCAGCTCGGATTCCACAGGGTGGGAGTGCCATGGAAACCACATTAGGAAGGAGGCATTGCAGTCTGACTCTCAGACCACCAGTCTGCCACCCCACACAGACACACACATTAGGCCGACTGTGAGATCCAGGTTAGTTCGTCAGTTGGCAACCTTCCAAGCCACGCCGTTTAGCGCACCGTGATGGCTTTGAGCGCCTCAGATTGTTTATAGCGAGCGCAGTGTGCTGGGCCGCTGACCTAATTCTCTATTCCCATTCCCAGATCCCAGGCACTGTCCGAGCCGGATGACAGGACCAGGTAGCTCGTCTGCGCGCGCCACGTGCGCGACCCGGTTCCACAAGCGTACATTGCAGGATTCCACCCATAAGGGGATGGAAAGCTCGGATCTCGCATGCAGCAGGGGAGCATGTGTTTGGTGGAGGAAGTTGTGGAGATGTGGACGTGCGCGCGAAGATTTACTGCAGCTTTTCATGAATGCTCATGCGACCGAGTAGGTCTATGAGGTGGCTGAATGTGGGGGGGGGGGGAGGGGGCAATGAGAGCAGATGAGGTTAGTGCGTCTGGTGCATGTTGAAGCTATAGACACTGGTAGAGGGCGCTCACCGATCGTTTTTACGGAACTAACTCGTTCTGTTGTGCCTTACGGACTCTATTTCTCTCTCGAGCCCAACCAGCAGCCGCACAGCGGAGCATGATATAGGCAGAATGCTATTACCGACAAAGACAGTGGAGACTGGAATGGCCATTCTGGCTTATTAGCCGTCGTCAGCCAGTCATACCTAATCCCGAAGTGTGGAACACCCGAGGCTCGAACTCGCGACATGTTAGTTAGAAGTTCACGCCTCTAACCAATGGGCCACGAGTCCGTTGCCCTGTCGGTTTCGATCGGGAATATACAATTGTAGGGGACGCTCACGGACAGCTCTGGTTCGCTAGTCTCCGTGTGATGCAAGTGACTGTTATGACCCGGAATGAAGACAGGACAGAAAGAGAGCCGGTTCGGAGGACAAGAACTTTATTGCCAACTCGCAATCCTGAGGGGTTACAACTCGCCAGAGAGATGCTTTATTTATGTTGGCCCCTGTGCGTCCTGGAACGTTCCGCCCAACAGCGTGCCAGCCCTTGAGAGCGTTCTAGAACGTTCCTGCCCAGGGCCAGCTGGCCGCTGATTGACGACCGCGTGCGCAATAGTCCCCCCGCGGAAACATCTGGAATGTTCGACCAGTCATTGATTGGACCGCAAGCGTGGGTAAAGCCACCACACGTACTCAGTACTGTAGTGCACGCCGATCGGCCGTCTAACTTCACGCGATTCTCACGCCACCGGCTTGGTCCCCTGTGCAGCGCATTAGACCGTGGCTCCACGCCGCTTGCATCCCCCATAACAGCGACAGACCAGGCCAATTCGAGGGGTGAATGTACGTTGACAGCGTGGTAGAATAGGTCAGGATTTGAAAAGTTTGTTTTGCTGCTGATGAAAGTGGTGCTACTGTGGTTTGTGGTGGTCGCGGTGGGGGATGAGGAAGTGACTAGGTTGGGTGTGGTGGATATTCAAGACGTGCTAGATGTATCGGTATTCCAGTTCATCCCGCTGTCATGAATACGCACGTGATCGAACAGGCCCATGTGGTGGGTGACTGTGTGTGGGGAGTGGGGCAGTGAAGGCGGATGCGGTGGGTGTATGTTGGTGCTCCAGGCGCTGGTTCGCCAGTTTCTGTGCGATAGATTCTTAGGTGGTCGGCCAAACCGACGTAAAGGGCGAATCAGGTTACAATGAGAACAGTTTGATACTCAGTCCACATCGTTGGAGGTAGGACGACGATGTTAAATGTGTAGGTAGTTGTCTGGGTGTCGGACGCGTTTCAGTCGTTGGCGGTGGTGGTGAAGGTAGTTGTGTTAGTCGTCTCCGCGGTAACAGTGGCAGACTTGGTGGGGGTGATAATGGTCGACAACAGCGCGGTACGGAGAGTCGAAGCAACGCTGTTGAGGGTGGTCACCGCCGTGGTCGACATGGACGTTGGAGCAGGCGCGTTCGTCGGGCGATTGGCATATTGAGTCCGAAGATGACCGGTGAGGCTGATCCGACCGCGGAATGTTCGTTGGTAGCGCGAGCATTTTCGATAGGATTTAGAGGCGATAGTGCGAATCGAAGACGCCTGAGGTTTGCGAACAACCCTTTTGGCTTCGGCGACGGCGATCCGGTTCTTTTCGTGAGTGGTCGCGTCGCTCTTCACTTGTTTCCTCCAGCCTGCTATGGTCGGGGTCCTCCCAGGTTTCCCGGTTGATCTGAAGTCGTTTCAGTGAGCGCTTCTTAGTGTCCTTGCGGCGTAATTTTTGCCCTCCCGGTCCGCGAGCACCCATGACGACATCTCCAATGACAAGTCCTTTTGGTAGGCGAGCATCCTTCAATCTCACCATGTGATCGCTCCGTCGCAATTGTTATTGACTGAACATGGCGCAGATATTGCGGATTCCGGCGGGTTCCAGGACTTCCGCGTCAGGGATTCCGTCTTGCCATCTCAACCTCAGTGTCCTGCGGAAGCAGCTGTGGCGGAAATGGTTAAGATTCCTGGCATAAATGAAGTAGGCGGCCCAGGTTTCCGCTCCGCCCAGAAGTGTCACCACGATGACGGACTTGTACATCTTCAATCCTGTAATCAATTTGTTTACTAAGTACCCACTGGTGGTACCATTATAAAAAGTAAAGGTCACTAAGTGTATTTAAGGGGAATGGGCTCACGTCTTTGAACTCCATATTTGTACATGAAAATCGAGAAAATAAGCAAAAGTGTGAAACAATTACAGCATTAAGTGAAAGCAGACATAGATTCAAATAGGTCACTGATTATATGGCTACGAAGTCACAGAGTTGGCTAGTTGCTGCGGCACGACCGTCAAGCCAACATCTAAATGCGTTCACAGATTGAGACATAACAATCGTCACGGGCAGATTATTACACGGTTCCACGACACGGTTTGAGAAAAAATACTTTCTCACATCCAACTTAACATGGGGCACGGGAAGTTTGAGGGGATGTCCCGGAGGTAATTTATAAAGGCGGCGGAATCATCATGCTGGCATAAGACCGATATCCGGGAGTGAGAGTGCTAATCCGAGGAACATGAGAGCTAAAGTTACTGCGAAATAAATAGCAAAGGCCAGCTTCGAGTCTTCCTAGCCATAAAACCTTGATTTTTCCTTCCGGAAATGAATCTACGAATGTAGTAATTAATAATAATTTTTTTCATTAAAGACCCCTCGGGATCCGCTCGAAGCAAGTAAAAAATAAATTCACATGCCAATTTTAGACGAGGAAGGCAGAATCTTTACAAAATGAAATCCATTGTTTCTGAATTAGAAGTCCATTGAGAAAAATGACTAGCGAGGGGTGAAAAAACCTCATACAAAAATTCAAAAAGGATTGGATAAATTTTGCAGGAGAAAGAAACCCCCAATAAAAAAATAATAACAGAAAAATGCGGGCAGGACTGGACTGTATGTGGAGGTATATAACGGATTATAATCCGACATCGTCAGGGCAGCAATAAATGTCAGCCTTGAGGGGTACGTATGCGGGTCAGACAGGACTGGCCTGCATGTAGTAGAGTGTACGGGATTCAGAACTGACATCGTCTGGGACGGATTGATACGCCGGATGAAACTATTCGCGTCCAAGAGGCCAGACGAGAGGAACCCAGACGCGATCGGCCACAGCACGCTTCGAGCTCAGCCGAGCGGTGGGGAAGGGAGGTACGACCGAACTACTAGTAGACAGCGAATACTGAGGGTTCCGCCGTGAGCGTCGACAGACCGCATGAGGTCGGAATGCGGGAGATGACATCAAAAACCGCGAAAATTGTCACTATGGCGGAGGAGTGATGGCATTGGATTTAGAAACCAATTGAAAATAGGGGTTTCTAATGACATGATTAAGAGTTACCACGTAATCTACCATTAAATCCCAGGAGGACCCTTCTCGAAGTCAAGAATCTGAGTGTTCGGGAATGAGACCGTTAACAGTGCCTTTATGCTTTCCGGTGTAAGATGTTTGCGTAATTTCGACTTGAATACCAGTAACTTAGGCGATAATTTAATTTCAGGCGGAAGATTATTCCAAAGGAAGGCATATTTGGAAGCAAAGAAGAGGGAGCGCTTAGATGTAGTACAAAGAGGCGGCGGAATCACCATGCAGGAGTTGCGCGTGAAATAAGACCGATCTCTCGGAGTGAGAGTGTCAATGAGCGGAAGACTGGAGCTAGAGTTGATGCGAAAAAGGAAGCAAAGGCCAGCTTCGAGTCTTCTAACCCATAAAAACTTAATATTCGCCAGCTGACATCTCTGAGTATAAGAAATGCCGGATGAAGCTTGAGAGAACAGTTTCCGGGTGAAAACCCTCTGAACATTTTCGATTTTATTACGGTCGCAGGCGTTCATTAAACCGAAGAAAGGACAGCAATATTCGAGGACTGGAAGAACAAACATTTGATAAAGTCTTAGCTTCATTTCCGGAAGGAAAAAATTATGCGATATGAATCCATATATCTGTGCGGCTTTGGCAGAGATTCTATCTGCATGAGGTGATAAAGCAAGCTTATTTGCATAACTTAGACCTAGGTCCTTTATGGTGAGGCATTCTGAGAGTGGGTTATTCTGAAAAATTATGGGACCAGGAAGTTTGGTAGGACCAAAAGACATGAAACTACTCTTGGATGATGAAAACTCCATCTGCCATGTTGAACCCCATCTGCTTAAGCGTGGTAAATCGACATTAATTTTTTCAACACAAACGTTTACGGTGTCCTTAGAGTATGAGTAAACACACTTGAGGTAATCCGCATAAATAAATTTTGCGAATTTCCGAGTTCAGTCGAAATATCATTGATGTACAGAAGGGAGAGTGGCGGACCCAGAACCGTGCCTCGAAGTACGCCACTCGTGATCGAGTGGGGTGTCGAGTTGCTATTACCGACCATGACTTTCTGATATCGGTTGGACAGATAGGACCTGATGAAGTCGAGTAGAGGCGGCCGGATGCCGAGAGCTTCCAATTTTACTAAAAGACGTCTATGGGGCACCTTGTCAAAGGCTTTGCTAAGATCAAAGTAAATAACTACCACTGACTGCCGCTCATTACGAAGAGAAGTGATTAGATTAAGAAAAGCCAAGTGGCATGTTTCGCAGGATCGTTCAGGTATAAATCCATGCTGACTAGATCTCAGAAGCCGATTAGCTAGACAGAAGTCAAGAATTTCATTGAAAATAATCCTTTCAAGAAGTTTTGCTAGAGACGGCGTTTTGTGCACGCCCCGATAGTTATTAACATCGGACCGAGATCCTGACTTGAAGACGGGAATGATAATTGACCTTTCCACGAAAGGAAAGAATCCTTTTGAAATATAAACAGATAATAAATGACTAGACAATGTGCGAAGGTCGGACGCTTGTTTAATAATCGAATTGGGAATCCCGTCCGTTCCTGAGCAGTGTGAGTATTTCAAACGGCTTATGTGTTTCTTAATGAGATCCGAGGAGATATCAATTGTACTAAGTGTCCTATCTGAAAGTGATCGAAAGGAAGGGACCGGATCGGACTCGGTAGCAAGGTGTTTTGCAAAGAAAGCACTAAACAACTCCGCCTTGTCAGCGTCATCGGTGAGGAAGATTTTGTTTTCATTTAGCATGGGTGGACGTTCCTGACCACGCTTAGAGGAGGACCGATGACGGAAGATGTTAGCGACGGATTTTCCAGGGTTCGAACCACTGAGAGCAATTGATTCTCTTTGCCTGTCGCGCGCTTGGCGCATCCTTGAGGCCATCTCAAAAATCTCTGTTATTCTAAGACCAACTGATAAGGAACTAGTGGATGAGTCACGCAGTTGTCGCCTCAACTTTTTTAGTCTGTTCTGAAGAAAATGAGGAACAAGAGAATCTGAAGAATTAGGCTTGAGATATCTACGCGGCACAAACTCTAGAATGTCTTTGGAAACATTGGACATGACATCACGAAGAATGGTTACATCGCTACAAGTGAGGAAGCCACACCAATCCAAGGATCTCATATAGTTGTTTATAAAGTCGTTATCTACGCAGTCGTAGTTCATGAAAGTCTGAACGGCGCTTGTCTTTTTTGAAAAGGCAAGCGGTAGGCAACAATGAATTAATACGTGGTCACTGTCAAAGAGGTCCTTTTTTGAAGCAACAGAAAGAGGAGCAATGTCATTGGTAAAGATTAGATCTAAAATATGCTTATCTCTTGATGGAGAGCGCACCAGTTGAGACCAATTAGAAAAATGGACAATATCTTGGAAGGACGGGAATCTAGGTGGGCAGATATTGGAAACCCAGTCTCTTTCAGTAAGTTTAAGTTGCCGAATGATTATTTTGACATCAAAAGCAGCTTCCGAAAGTAATTTGAAGATTTCACAGAGTTATGAATCATCACTGGCTAAAGAATTTGGGGGATTGTAGATACAGCCAATAATTGCCTTTCTTTGCTGCGAGAGAATAACAGATGCAAAGCAGAAGTTTCCCGTGAATGAGGAAGCATCCAAGTAATAGGGAGAGTGCTTTAGGTATGATTTAAGATAAAGAAGACAACCACCCCCACGCCTAGTCGTGCGGTCTTGGCGGTAAAAATCGGAGTCATCTATGAGAAGGGCAGAGTCAGGAATTAGAGAATGAGTCCAAGATTCTGTTACACATATAATATCAGGCGTCATTTCCAGAGCAATGGCTCTGCTTTGGGCCATCTTGTTTATAACAGACCTGGCAGTCAATAATATAATATCGAATGTGTTTCGAACGGCAATGCTATTTTCGACGGTATTTAAAAAACATTTGGAGGTGGATATGTAAGCTGTGAATTAAGGACACCTGGAGAATAAGTACCAGTTAATCTAGAGTTATTGACGTACGGGGAGTCAGCAAGAGGAGGCTGAGTATGAGACCTAAAGGATGTGGGGATATAGTTTTCAAACATTGGAATGCTAGGAGAGTTAGAACATGGATAGACTTGTTGGTAGTTAAATTGTTGAAGAAGGGGAGGAGGTGGGAGTCTTGAAGGCAGGCAGAGGCTAGTGAGTGAGGGTAGGCAGCTATAAGAATAAAAGGGTGGAAACCAGGTCTAGGTTGGAAGTCAAAGGATGTAGGTTGACGAATCTGAGCGCAATTGGTTTTAAGCGGTGGGAAGCCTGAACTAGTTTGGGGCATAAATGACTTAGGACAAATCATGTATTAATTATTTGTTGGATATATAGCAGGGCTTTGTCAAGTAACCGGTACGCAGGACAGAGAATTATTCGGGGATATATTTGGAGTTGCGGGGTTTGTAGACGTGCTGGGCTGAACAGACTTGTTAGATCTAAGAGAAGGCGTCGTACCCCTAAATGGAACTGAACTACCTATTTTTTGGTTCGGAGTCTGATTCAATTTCCGAGTCTCACCGTTCTGAAGCCTAACCACGGGCGACTTAACTGTAGAGCTTGCAGTGTAGCGGCCGAGTAGGGAGGGACTCTGGGGAAATCGGGGAGGCCTGAGGTTGAATATGATGGCTTGTGGTCTTTCGTATGTGTAGCCAAGGAAAACTCCTCTAGAAGTTGATTAACTCCATCATACACATTAGCACATGAAAGAGGTGGAGTAGACGTAATAGCGACAGATGAAGTGGATATAAAAGTTTATTGGCAAAAGGTTGACGGAACGATAGAAAAATAATTTTATCGCGATCTATTATAAGGGTAAAAATAGTGGGTACAGGTTAGTAAACAACTATGAGAATACAACTTAATCCTATGAATCGATAAAACGTGAAATACGGAAAAAGGTTGGTTAGTTGTGAAATAAACGAGACGGAAAACGAATCGGCAGTCCAGGAATACGAAAACGATAAGAAAAAGGGGACTTAGCGGAGGGCGCGTCGACAGGCGTCGACACGAATTCACGTGACCCAAACTCTGAAAGGGAGGGCGGGATGTAAAAAGGTCCGCTTAAAACAATCGGTCGTTACAGCGGCACCCAGTTGGACAGGAGAATTTATCGGTCTAGCTGATGTAGACGGATTTTCATGTGCTCCAGCGGGGCAATCCGGAGGATACTAAACGCCAAATGGGGCTACTGCTGCTGCTGCTAGTTTAGGGGCAGGCAAATGCGCCAAGTGGCTTGAGTGAGATGGATATGTAGGAGTAAGGGGAAGAAGGGAGTCAGATGTCGCAGGAGTAGGCAGGCTGAATCCTCACGACCACTCGTATTATAACCGAGTTGGTGAGCATTAGACTGAAAGGCAGTGGGTTTGAGTGAGAAGAGATATCCGACTCTACGCTCCATAGGAGTAAGATCATGACAAAGGGAAAATTTTGCACTTTATAGGTACGCAGTGACACGACCTGGATGGGCAAATATTGTGTCAACTTCTATAGATGAAAATAATTTGACGAAGATGGGTGGATTTTTGCTACGGGAGGACAAGCGTTTAGCGTCTGCTATTTTGTAGCTGACACCACATGAATACTGGAAATTTGCCGCAACATCAATTGGCTGAGCAGATTGAAGAACATTTTTTAACAGAAACTCGTAAGAACGCTTTTGTCTATCACTGGATTCACTGGCGATCAGGTGAACAAGTGAGTCGAGACGCCTACATTCTTCAGAGGGAATATCCGAGATGTTCCCGTCGAATAAATTTCCAAGAATTGACAGTAAAGTGCCAAAATTTAGCATAAAGTCATTGTACTTGTCAAGTGCAGACAGGTTAAGCTGCCGACCAATTACAACAGGTGACGACTGACTAGTAATACCATCTGACGTAGATTTAGGTAAGCCTTCTAACTGAGCTTTAGTTTGGTCATGCTTAGTTACAGGGACAGAGAGCTTACGCCGACTAGTGACTTTTACTCTCATCTTGTCTCGAGGCAGCTTGTGATTAAGAAAGCTTCTGGCAGACAAGTTGGCTGAATTTCAACTAGGGGCTAACGATGTAAAAATAAATTACAACAGTTAGAGAGAAATCGAATGCACAAAATGAGAATTGCGGAGTGCGACTGGTGGTCAACAGGCATAGACTAGCTGAACTCAAAGGACATGGCAACAGGCTGTTCTGAATGAAATGGCCTTTATTTAAGGAAACTTAACCAAAAAACAGGAGTTAAAATCTTTAGGTCTCACAGAAAAACCACTTAAAATAAAATTTTACACTTATCTTCAAATTTGAATTTTCCTTTCCCTTAGTGCTGCTGCCATTTCTTTGGTTCACTAAACGCATGTGAACGTCAGTCAGTCAGTCAGTGTATTTGAGGGAAATAGGCTTACGCCTTTGAACTCCCTATTTGTACATAAAAAATCGATAAACAAGCAAAAATGTGAAGAAATTACAGCATTAAGTGAATGCATACATTGAGTCATATATATCACTAGTCACATGGCTAAAAAGTCACATAGTCCGCTTGTTGCTGCAGCATATATCTGTCAAGGCGACATTTAAATGTCTCCACAGATTGAGACATAACAACCGTCTCGGGCAGGTCATTCCACGGTTCCACGACACGGTTGGAGAAGAAATATTTTCTCACATTCAGTCTACCCTGTGGCACACGTAGCTTGAAGGGATGTCCCCGGAGGTGAGTTGTAGTGGCGAGTTGGAAAAAGTCATTGCGCCGAAGGGCACAATCCAAGCCGCGCACGATACGGAAAGTTTGTATCATGTCTCCGCGCAACTGCCTATAACTCAGAGGATAGAGATTAAGGTTAGTTAAGCGGATCTCGTATGGCAGTGCACTTTGACCTCTTACTAATTTTGTGGCTCGCCTCTGCACCCATTCGAGCAGATCGTAATCCTGGTGCGTCCACGGTCTCCAGGCCTGAATTGCACATTCGAGATGGGGCCTTATAAACGTGCCGAAGACTTTGGTGAAGCAGTCTTCATCGAAAACTACGAATGCCCGCTTGATGGCATATAGCATTGACGTTGCGGCCTTGGCCGCCTTACAGCATTGTGTAGAAGGCTTTAGGCTGTCTGCAGCCCAAACTCCGAGATCTTTCTGAGTTTCTGCTTCTTGGAGTGGCATTCCGTTCAGATGGTATTGCCGCGTACTAGGACTCTGATTTCCGAGGCGCATAATGGTGCATTTGTTCAAATTGAAGGACAAGAGCCATCTGTGGGACCACTCGTCCAACCGACAAAGATTTTCTTGGAATTTGGTCTCATCGGCAGCATTCTGGATGACTTTCCAGATTTTTATGTCATCCGCAAACATGGCACAATCACAGTCCAACCCATCTACGCAATCATTGATGAACAAGAGAAAGAGAGTTGGTCCGAGCACCGAGCCTTGTGGGACCCCACTCTCTATGAATGTGCACCTTGATTGCTGTTGTTCTACGCAGACAATTTGGGAGCGGCCGACAAGGAAATTTTCGATCCATTTGAGAAGTTTGCCACCGATGCCCATAATTCTCAACTTGTGTAGGAGACGCTGGTGCGGAACACTGTCAAACGCCTTCCGAAAATCAATATAGGCAACATGCACGGTGTGTTTTGCGTCCAGTGCTCGTGTCCAACTTTGCATTGTGTATAGTAAGTTCGTAACACATGATCTTCCCCTACGGAAACCATATTGTGTATTGGACAAGAGGTTGTGGGTTTCCAAGTAAGCCATCAACTCCTTTTTGATGGTTTTCTCCATCACTTTGCAGCAGATTGATGTCAGACTGACGGGTCTGTAGTTTGTCGCCTGAGCACGACTACCGCTTTTGTAAAGGGGTATAATGTGGGCCGTCTTCCAGTCTGTGGGAAGAATTCCAGCATCAAACGATTTTTGGCACAGAAAGGATAGTGGCTTGGCCAGCTGTTGGGCAAGCTCAAAGAGCAGCTTTGCTGGAATCTCGTCCGGACCGGGAGATTTACATTGCTTCAAGCTTTTCAGTTCTTCCAAAATCGCTTCTTCGTGAAACACAATATTTTCGATAGTGGAATCTCTTATGTTTCCGGAGAAGAGAACATCCCAGTCTATTTGTGATGCCTCAGCTCTCATTTGGCGAAAGTCCCCTTTCCATATATTTGGCCTCGTATTGTCTTTTGTACACGGTTCAGAATACAGCAAGTACTATGGGAGTACAGCAAGTACTCCCATAAAAGCACTGCATGATCACTTCGACCGAGCGGGGATAGGTAGTACACCTCGTCTATACTGTCAGGATCTTTGATAAAAACGAGGTCCAGACAACTGGCCTGTCGCCCTCCACGAGCTCTAGTTGGAAACAGGACATGGCGCGTGAGAAGAGTTTCTAGAGTTGTCTTTAGTAGATGGTAATCGAAGGTATTCATCGAGCATTTCGCATGCATATCGCTCCATTGAATGCATGGTGCATTAAAGTCCCCCATGATAACAACGTCTGGTGGACTGGCGATCTCTTTTATGCTTTTCAGTGGACAAGTATCTGGGTCGGGATCCGCCTGCGGGGGCCGGTAGATAGTTAAGACTTCGAGGGACTGAGATCCCCGCGCCTTTATAGTCAGCCAAATTGCCTCTGTGTCGTTAGAAATCTTGTCGGTCCGCTCACACACTGCTAAGTTGCTCTTGACATACATGGCAACTCCTCCACCCCGGCGGCCTCTCCTGTCTCTCCTAAACAAATGGTATCCTGTTAATGCTACCTCGCAATCACCAACGTCTTCTGACAGCCACGTTTCTGTTATTGCTATAGCATCGAGAATGTTCAGTGAGGTTAACTTGAAAACTTCTCTCTCAAGCTGCCTCCACTATTTCTTATGCTGCAAGATGTCAGTAGGTAAGCATTGTGTGATGTGAGCCGACACATCTGTGCGGCTTTGGCAGAGATCCTATCTGCATGAGGTAATAAAACAAGCTTATTTGTATACATTAAACCTACGTCCTTTGTGGTGAAGCATTCTGAGAGTGAGTTATTGTGAACAATTATGGGACCCGGAAGTTTGGCAGGACCAAAAGACATGAAACTGCAATTGGACGAAATGGACGTAGGTGTGGGAGAATCGCGATGTTCATGTGGGACGACATTAACTACGTCAGGGATGGGTCCTCACCAAAAGAGAATACGGACTGCGAAATCATTGGTTTTGATGTAAGTGTACCAAACCAACCGGACCTTCATATTCCGCAGGTACAAAGACCCTAGGGCAGCGGAAGGATACGGACGATACACTCATCACCGACTTAAAGCAGATCAACCGTAGAGAAAACGCGAAAATACTGGGAGATTTAAACTCTCCAGACATCGGTTGGAAATCGATGAAATGCATGCGTTCAGAGAATTCATTCAAACAGAAACTACTTCAATTGGTCACTGAAAAATTCCTTACTTAATATGTTACAATGTACCCTCGATTCCGTAGTGCGCAGCAATGAAGCCGTTTGGATCTTATTATCAGGCATGGAAACTGTGTCCTTGTATTGACTTCTAACATCCCTCCGGATCGAAGTGAGCATTGTGTCCTTGTTTGCGTGTAAAGTCGTTCTTCTGTATCTGCAATTCACACCTTATAGCAGAGAACTATATGGACAAGGGATTATTCCAAAAAAAGAACTGCTGACAGAGGTAGAATGGAATCCTACGCATGTATGTGACCCAAACGCCGCCTGGGTCTTCTTTAAGAAAATGATTCGGTACTTGATAGGAAATAGTTGTCCGTTTAAAAGGAGATCGTTCGTCTCCCGACCACAGTGGGTGGCATCGGAAATGAAATGAAGCCCTAAAAAAAAGAGACTGTGGAGGAGGTACACCACATGTCACATGCTGCAAACTCTCCAATGGCTAACTTTCGTTTACAGGACGTGCGCGTTTAAGCAGAATAAAAATAAAATTTTGGAGATTCTTGATTCCTAGGTGAATTACATGCTTTAGGTTCTGACTGAAATTCTTACAATAACCGTTGCCTTCAATCCTCTTCTCTCGAGGAAGCCCAAACTTTCACAACGCAATAATGCTTGTTGGTCGTGCTAGAAGGGCCTTAGCTATTTTCTCGCTGAAAATAGCCAAATTTGCCACTGTACCTATTCATCCATCGAAAAAACTTGTTATTAAAGCCTATTCGCCTATTGTGATATCTTGCTTACCTTCACACGAGGCTGGCGAGCATTGCGCATTCCTATCGGACGATTCTGGATTCGTTTTGGAAAATGTGTCTGTGTTTTCCCAGCCGTCAACCTCCAATCCGACTAAGTTGGCGCAGATTCGATTGCCGGCTCAACGTGGTTTGCCTCCAATTATTTTTTGAATTTTTAGATGTTGACATTTTCCAGAATTCGTCCGCCGCGTCTAGTTTTGCTGACTACGAAGGTTCGAAAGCCAATATTGAGTCACTTGGTCCCCTAACCCTGAAGAAACTAAAAGTTCCTAATTTTCCAATTTTCATCATACTAGTTCTCAAATTTAAGGATTAAATGTGCGGCTGATGTGCAATGCGATGGTTACATCCATGGGAACGTGTCTATCGAGACGCCCGGCGTACGCATGCTTTTGTTTTTAAATCCAAGTTTTTACATAAATTATTAACATCATTGTCCACTTTTCTGCGGACGCCCAAGGCCGCCGGTCACCATTTGTAGGCTTCATGTTAGTCCTACATTCTATGGTTGTCATTAGTTATTCAGAACTTCCTGAATCTTTTTCTAATGAACTCTTTAGTCCATTCGCGTCAGCAACATAGTCGGGGAAGACTGTGAACTTACTTTCGGTGGTCCAAGCTGCCATGTTCAGTCAGCCTATTGCGAAAATATGACTCTGAAAGCTCTTCCTCCCGCTGGCACGCCAGACTTCCACGAGCAAAATCCGCTAAATATTCACTTTGGGACGCTGCGAGGCCGCGCAGACATTGAAGTTGAAGAGGCTGCAAACACTAACATCGGTGGGTTTTACATCGCACTGTGTGTTGCTTCACCCTTTTCACTATTTAAAATCCGCCTTGCGGTGACGTGTTAGAGAGGAGATGCAGGCCAGTCTGATGAATCGCATAATTTAATGGTCGGAACTGTCGCTCGACCTTCGATTCCTTGAGCATTCTCATGGATCCTGCGTTAATGGTCCATTGTCATAACTTCAACCTCAATCCTTGTTTAATTTTCAAATGACAATCCTTTGTGTGGGCCTCAAAATTCACTTACGATTATTGTTCCTAGTTGTTCTGTTGGTTATTGTAATAGTCCGTTTTTGCAATTTTCCCAAATTTTCATGTAAACTGCAATTCCCTCTTTTGTAGGAAGCTTTGAAGGAGCTTTGCGTATCAGGCAACGATTAGGAAATGTTGCCATCCACCTTGCTGGGGAGTGTCCTTTGATAGAAATTGATGTCGCGGAAGGAGATGTCTTGTTAAGTCTTCCAGTCAGTTCAGACGGTCTGCCACAGATCAGTGGTTGTTTTGATTTGACTGCACCCAAAATCGAGTTAGACAAAAACAGTCTACCTGCTGACAGTCTCGATAGCTGGGATGTCACCGAGTTGCCGGGACTACAGGGTTTCTATGGTAAGCATCCAATTTTAAATCCCCACACTCGCAAACCCCTCATCCGCCGCACCATTGAAACTTAGTATGATGTAGCTTTTTAACACTTTTCTGATGGTTTGATCCTCATTTCTTCGTTTCTCCTTGTTAAGGAACCTTTGGGAAGCCGGATCCTGACGCGCAGCCTATGTGGATGGTTCGCACACTCCGTGGTCTGATCCGTATCAGCGGCTCCTCCTGGGCCGATGCAATGCTAAGGAACCTTAATTCACAGAAGAAAACTTGAGTTTGTATTTCTTGCCAATTGTGATCGCAAATTTCTCCTTACCCAGCACCAATGTTCTTCACTTTGTATTACCATTTTCATTAACTCATTCTGATTATTTTGTATGGATCACACACCAGCAGTTCTGGCTTTTTGTTACTTACTTTTTTTCACAACTATTTTTCTGCATGCTGGTTTTTCACCGGCGATGCTTTCGATCAGTACTCAAGTAGGGCATCGTATCAGTGCCGGCCCATTTTCTTAGTGGTAATGTGAGGTTTGTTTAGCCCTACGGGTGTCTCTCGAGCCCATTTACGGAAATTCCTATTACACTAGCCCATTTCAGTGCTCCATGAATTGCATGCAATCAAGTATTTCCTGAACCCTTTGAATAGCACGCACCAAATACCTTAAGTCGGGCTGTGGCCGTGTAAGTAGTAAATGACGTTTTCAGGACGGAAGTGCTTTTTTGCTCCGAATAAGAACTTCATGGGGCACTGGGTTTCCTACAAAACGCGCTTTCTAAGGACTATTAATTTTATATGAGAATCGGGGCGAAGCTTGCATAAGCCAGAATGCCCGGTACTGGGGATGGTCGATTTCCCTGCCCTAGGCCACTTGGCGGTAACCTATTGGGAAGGGGGCCTGTGATGGTTGGACTGTGTTCTGCATCTTTCATGTGTGCATTTATCTAGAAAAACCTTATCTCAAGGCTATTTCAATGTTGGGTTATGTCAAGGGAGGAGGTCGACTTAATCCCATGCTGGATTGTGCGTAGTCGTCTCGTTAGTCAGGGAAGAAAGGAGCGTGAATCGGGTACCTTGAATAAATTAGGAACAGAAGGCTCAAGTCATGTGTGAGGCCCAGCATGACAGTTCAACCGTCCTTGCCGACGATGTCCACCGTGCTCCCCACAGCAGGGCGGGATCAGGGACGGTGACCTGCGCGGTGAGTTACTTCAGAGTGGTGGTAGACTCGCGCCGAGCGTGGTCCTATAAGCTCTGCGGTTTTAACAGGTGGCAAAACTGTCTGGTATGCAGCATCACGCTCAACCAACACGTTGACGTCCACATCTCAGCATAACAACTGGGACCAAAGTACTCCCACTGGGCTTGAATTCCCGTCGTGGCGTCCGGAGGGTCTTTCGGTTTCAGCTAGAGCTTTTTAAACTCCCCAATTTTCTTCGTATATGTGGCGCATTATCATCCGTCTAGATCTTGCCCTAACATCTTGTCGATTTGACGAACGGTTTGCAATATAGTTCTTACCTGAATTGGTGATGCATTGGGTGTGAACTTATGCTGGTTATTATAACCGACGACTTTCGGAAGATGGTGGATTCGGTGTGCATCAGGCTTCGCACCAGTGATTTATGTGTCGAGGCTTCAAGCAACGACCTCTGGTTGTATATCTGACCCTGCTAGGATGGTCCTCGTGAGGAACGCCGTCGGCAGTTTTGTCAAGTAGATAGTAATGACGACGTCGTCCGGGTCGACCATAATCGCAAGGTTTTGCTGGGCTTGGGAAGTCTCTGCAGGCCTACGGTGGCATCCCAGCTTGGCATTAGGGGCCCGATTCATTGCAGTCACGGGCGAGAGCTTGCGCTGCGGCAGCGTGATCACTGGGTTTACGGATACGTTTAGTTGGCCGTTCCACAGTAAGATACGGGTGGTCCTCGCCAGACGCATCGTCCCTCCTTGCTGCCAGACTCCTATTGTGGCTTCATGCAGGTTTGCTCTGCATGCTAATTACACCCCAATGACAGCCCTTGACCGGATGACTAAACAATTTTAGGGTATTCGGTGTGTGCTTTCCAACTTGTTAATTTCTCTATCGGTCCTTATTACACCTCATTTTCAAAATGTCCTACAGAAAGGGTGGCATGTAGCCCCCTGGGTCACGCACGTAAAGTCGGGTCGTCATCCCATAAATTAGAGCATGTGGCGCTACCTACATCTACACCTGAGAAGGGGTGGGAAGTGCGCTTTGGGCAGATGGGAAGCACGCCGTCGACACGTCGACCATGACTTACGAACATTAGACGTGGGGCCACAAATCTACGCGGAACAATCCAGGTCACATTGCTCCGTCGAAGGGACTGCTCACTCTGTTAACCAGCCACCGGAGAAGGGCGCTCTCGTCTTCCGTGAACTGTCTTGGTACAAGGTGCACGCCATAGACACACAGAGTAAAGAGAGCCGGATTAAGTACACAGTAAACTTCTCTGGAGCAGTGAGTGCTAGTCGACGGAATCATCAAAAATAGCGATCTGGGAGTCGCTTTGCCCTCAGTGGGAAGTCCGAGATCGGGGGGGGGGGGTAAATCTGTCAACATCATCAGCGTCTACGGCCCACCAACGGCAAATCATGACAATGTAATGAACAAGTTCTATGAAGATCTCTGTACTTTCTTTGCGACTGTAGCGAAAGTTGCCAAGTTAATTGTCCTTGATGAATTCAATGGCTGCTCAGGCACAAAGTTGCCTGGAAAGTAGTGGATAGAACGTTAGATCGTCATGTATTCGGCAGCTGCAATGGAGACGATGTCACGTTGGTGCTGGCATCATTAAAACCAAAACCGGAAGGAAGGTAACGTGGATGCGCCCTCATTCGCATCGCTGACACTCGCTAGATCATGCACTCATCGGGTGGTTATATCACCAGGTGCCCGTGACAACGGTGAAGAGCGGTGTCAGAGGGCGTTCCAGCGTGGGATATTTGCGGTAACCAATGTACTAGCCCCAACCCCCTCACTCTCATGTCCGTCGCCACAATTTTTGCCAACCGTGGGGAGCGGTCCGGAATGAGCACCGAACAGGTGGAAAGTTATCCGAGGGCTGATGCGAGCAGGCAGGAAGTGCGTGTCGGCGATAACCTGGGGATACGTGCCCATGGCAGGGATCGGTGGAACTCGCCTGGCATCTCTGGATAACTTGCCCAACCTGAAGAACAGCAGTTCAAGTGAAATCAGGATCGAGGACTACATGGTCAGTCAGGCCTGCAGCACTCTACCGGCGAATAGCTGCGGCATCCTTAACACGAAACTGAGGACTTTGCAGACTTGTCGTCCCGACTACGCCCGATTACGTGGTTGAGAAACATTCTGCAAAAACCACACAGAAAGCCAGAACTATTTTCATCCCAGTTGCCGCGGAAATATTATGAAAATGGGAGAAAGGTTCCCGGATACTAAGGTCCTAGAAAGGACGTGTATGACCGGCAGGTATGCAAATCTGAAACATGTGGAACTGCGACGGTGCGATCATCTCGTGAGGACGCTTGACGAGCGCTCGTTTAGGCGATTATTCCACGGTAGGTCCGATGTGGATGTTCACAGTAAGGGAGGACGAAAGCAACGACAACTGCATCTGTAACTCGACCAAGGGACCTAGGAAGGCCTCTCATAGAATCAGGTTTGGCCTGCAGCCGTAAAAGTGGACCAGCAATCCTCGAGACGAACTAAACTGAGAAAGCTAAGGCGAGACGACAATGCGCAAGACTGGATTTTTAACTAGCACGTAAAACGTAGATTAGCATCGTTGAACAGTTGGGTCCGCCGAAATGTCAACGTGACCAAATCATACTCCACACTATATAAGACAATCACTTCCACTGCCGGTATCATCACAAAAGGCACCCTCACCGGTTGCCAGTGTTAAGAGAACGATTGAAGTATCCTGAACTCATCTTCCCACTCATTCCCTGAGCTAAGTACTGGTCTTCGGGATTCAGTACCGCCCACTCGCTAGCAGCATCGCGTAAGCAGCCACCCTCAAAACCTAGCCAAGTGTAGCTCGCTAAAACGCTGATATAGTTCTCCGGTTCTTAGTACTTGGTCTTCGTTGTCGGAGGACCCCTTAAGTTCATAGATTCAAATTTCCTGTCATGGAATGAAACCGCCCTGGATGCTACTAAGACCGGTTTAGTAATCCATGATTACCGTAAAGCCGGATGAATAGCCGATGCAGCCGAAATCTCAGTCCACAGTGCGTATCAACTACTGATTGCCGCGAGATTCGCAGAGCCCCAAGTGGATTTATTCCATGTCGAATCCTAACCCAAAAAGCTGGCTGAGACAAAAACGAACGCCTGGTTAGTCGAAGAACAGATTAGGAAGGACACCAGGCCGAAATGGATGGCGGTTCTGGTTTCATAAAAACTACACATGGCCCTCTGTTAAAGTCTACTGTTAGAATTACTGCGGCTGACATTCAAAGGACAAAGCTGAACCTTCCAAGCTGCCATAACTGTGGTAACATGACCACCACCGCCAGCAGCGTAAGCAAAAACAGAATAAAAACGGGACAAAGTCGCCGAACAGAGAAAGCAAAGGATCAAAATCATCTTAATAATAAATAAATTTACAAGGGTCTGTACACAGTGCGGTCTGACTCAGCCGAAGATTTTGCCTTCCGCGACTACGTCAGCTCGTGCCTGTTTCTTTCTGTTGGCTCGCAGCTGACGCTTGACTCGTAAACGGAACCGTTCCTGCTGCCTCTTCTTCTCCTCGCGCCGGAGTCGTTCGCGCACCTCGTGCTTGTCGATTAGAGTGTCCGCCGGGGACTTCACGGGGTGGCTCATCTGAGTGAGTTAACAAAAAGTCATCAACACCTACTAGTGACTGAACGGACGCAAGGGCTCTCCGTTGGTGAACATTGTCAAACTGATATAAATCAGTCTTATACCGAAAAACTGAGACGTTATGCCAATTGTTGGGACACGATTCCTGCACTAATGTCTACCGCCCACCTTCGGAAACTAGAAAGTGCACTTATGTGTAGGCCAGTCGGAGTCGGTTACCCTAATCGTTCTGAGGTCCTTTTTGGAGCAACTTTGGATAATGAATGAGTGCGTGAATAAATACTCGCCAGGTGCCTTGGTGATAACAAACGTCGGCTCAAGTAAGTGGTTATGACCCAGTTGACACGCCTCATCTGTGAACAATCTGCGTTTTAGGCATGTTGGAAGACACACGCAAGTCTGCTTAGTTATAAACGAATTAACGTGCCGACAATGGACCTCGCCACTTGTGACGGTTGAACTTCAGTTTCTACCCCTAGATTGTTATCATTATCATTGTTATTGATGAATGAAAGCGGATACGCCCGAAACAGTCTGTCTTAATCAGTCCGCCTCTCTGCTAGCATCATTCTGCCACCAAAACTGTTAACGACTGGGGGCCGCATCTGCCACATTCAATTCGCTGTGCTGACACGGCAATAGCTTAAGTGCGATGACCATAAATTGCGTCAGCGTTTGGTTAAATGCTGGCGTTTGCCAGTAATTTCTCCCGCGCAGCCTGTTTATCTTGTGACTGAATCAACTTGTGCCACTTCTCACTGTCGCCAACACTTGCACACGTCGGCCAGTTTGGGTGTCGTCGTAATATATAGGCCTTCCCGAATTCGACCCGCCTTGGGCAGGTGACAGCTCAGGACTTGTTAGTCCGGGGAGGTCGACGTGCCGATTAGTCGATTTAACGTACGTGGAATCATTCAGTTAACTAAGTGCCTCGACTATGGGTTTCTGTGCGTAATGAACCTTTGAAAGTGGGCAGAGACCTAACTTCTCAAAATGCCTCCCGTCTAACTCCTATGACTTTTCCCGCCAAACCGCTAAGACCACCCCAAGTGCGTTAACTCCTTTTCTTGCTCCTGCGGAGTAAGTTATATTAGCCGCACGAGTAGGCGCCTATCCAAAGGAATACGGAAACATCTCCCGACATGGTTATGAAAAGGCGAAGTTAGAAGCATAAACACGACCATCCTTGTACACATTGTTGATTTCGGGCATCGTGGGGAGCCCAACGCAGCCTTCCGTGCGATTCACATTGTACCACTGAACTACCGTAAGTCATTGGGTCAACGCCTGCTAATAAGAGCCAATCTTGTGAGCACAGAAGAATCTGGTAAGAGTACCACGCCTAACATGACCAGAAGACGGTTAAATGCATGCACTCTTCTGCGCCCTCTACCCCCGTCCCCTTAACCCCCAATGCCTCTTATTCCAACCTCCTCCCCCTGTTCTCACACTCACTTTTATGAAAAGACCAGCTGTAGTCGATTTTTCTACTTCTCACGGGTTTCACTTGTACCCTTTCACACATGGATGCACTGGCCCAATGAGAGTTTGTCTAAAGTACATGTATGCTCGCTAACTGGTCTTCTGGAGCTTTTCGATTTACTGAATAAGACAAAATTCCATGTTACCTTGGACGATGTTATTGTTCCTCTGCTTTCAACCTCCTCATCTGCCGAATTGTCAACTTCTTCCTCAGAATCCAGACTGTGGAATTCGTCAGAACTGTCTTCGGAGTTTTCACCCTCCTCGTCTTCTTGTGCCCCATCACCCTCATCTTCCGTCCCCGTCTCGTCAGAATCAGTTTCGTCGCTAGATCCACTGTCGTCCTCGTTCTCTTGGTGAAGGGCCAGTGAGGCGACGTTGCCCACCAGGACGTCCGAATCGTCCGTGCCATTCTGGCCGCGTGTTTTAGTCTTGGACGTGTTTTGGTAGCCTGGAGCCCGCAGCTGAACGTCTAGAGAGCCCGTTCGACTAAAAAGGACGAAAATAGTCGCAAATTACGTCTTGTCAGAGCAGAGTGCGGTCGACAGCCGGCTTCTCGCGATCTAATGGCAGGCGCATGAAATTTAACGTCAAAAAAATGTGTGTGGTAATGCACATACTATCAGCAAGGTGAATAATAAATGTACCCTCACGACAGTATCTCCTGGACAATCAACCACTTGAAAGCGTAGAGGTTCAAAAAGATCTTGGCAAAAATACGAGTTCCGGGAAGCAGTTGGGAGGCAAGAGACGAGGTCATTCAAACAAAGACGTTAATAGAGTGGGAGCGAATGTTCCAGGTGTAGGTGCATGTTTAAGGAAGATGGGGATGGAGGAGGGGGGGAACAAGAAGAAGGATAAGAGGTAGAGGGAGAAAAAGGAGATTAAGAAAATGAAGAAGAGAGAGAAGGGGAAGATCGCCCAAGCACCAGAAATACTTTTTTACTTTTCCAAGTTTTCCAAGCCGTGCAGGACTCCATCGTCAGCGGTAATAGCACCAACAGAAACAGCGGTAGTTGCAGGCGGTGTGTGCTAAACGAAGATGGAGGGATGGAGGTTGCTGCTAAGGGCTCTGTTTGTCGACGCCAAATCGAGTCATCGATTAACTGAGTTTTCATTCGAGGCCCAGGCTTCGATCCACCCGTTTCACTTCCGGCGTGAGTGATCATCTTGATGGCTGTGGTGTTGAACTCGTGACTCCTTACGAAGGTTTAGGCAGACATTCGTGATTATTCGTCACCTCATCGCACAGCCAACTTATGCTCGTGTATGCGAGATGCCCGAAAGCGCTCAGTCTGACTTTTGTAATTACGAAGACAGCTAAAGAGCGATCCACACGAATCGCTACGCCCGACAGCTGCTTGGAGTTTACTCGAACCCTGATGTTAAATATCCTGCAGAGCGTGGTTGCTTGGGGCCGGTGGGTAATTCCAACACCCAGTTCGCAGCAATGTGTTCGGTCGCCTCTGAGGCGTCTTTATGTATGATAGGGCATGCGATATCATTGGTGGTTTCACCGGTGCTCTCTGGAGACGAACATGTGGACATCGGATTATAAACGACATTCTGCATAAATTGGTAGCGAAGATATCGAACCCCACGTGTTTTTTCTTCCGAGATTCCGCAGTGAGTCTGGAGTCGTGTGAAGAGTGATCTCACTCAGCTCCGTTTGCAAGGCGCAAGAAGGCTGCTGTGAAAGTGGGAACCTGTGTAGTGTTTGGGGTCTTACGTACTATAAACCATAGTCTCAATTTCATCGTTGGGACTTTGCCTAACGACCAATAGATCCCAAAGATCCACGGATATTCTGCAGCCTATTATATCTGGCGGCAATAAACGCGCTATCAGCGCAACGATACCAGAAGATCAGCTACTGCAGGACCAGTTCTGCCAGGTAACCGGAGACTGGGAAGCAGTCTTGAGTGCCCTTGGTCTGCTTAAAGCTGAAGTAAGGTTTTTCAGCAAAACACAGCCGCATGGCGCGAGAAATACTGCATGAAATTCAGCGTTAAAAATACGTGGCAACGCACATAATATCAGCATGGCGAATAATAACTGCACCCTCAGGACAGTTTTTTCTGGAAAGTCAACCACTTGAAAACATAGATGTGCAAAAAGATCTTGGCGTATTCATGTAAGAGGACTCAAGCGTCACCACAGAGTGTTTTAAAGTCACAGATCGGTCAATGTCAGTCCTGAGCGCGATACGAAGAGCGTTTATTAAGTTGTTGTCGTTAGCAGGACCTATGGCGCATTTGTGCGGCCGCACCTGGAATATGCGATGCAGGCTTGACGGCCGTGGCTTCGGAAGGGTATGTGTATGGCGAAGTGCTACAAAGGCTGCTCATGAAATCAAAAATTTCACGTACGAGCAGTGCCTGACGACCTCGAATCTCCGTCCCCTCCACTGCAGGCAGGACAGAAGTGACCTCATAGCAACATTTCTGTTTCTAAGATGACTTGATCTGGATGTCGGCCGAGAAAATCCTTATGAAATGGTACCAAAGAACTGTGCACACAAATCGACGTTCCTTCTTTTTCCCGCAGAGGTCATTCACCTATGGAATTCTTTGTCGACGTATGTTATTAATTCCACCACCATGAGTGCGTTCTAGGGGCATCTGGATAATCACCTGTCAAAAGGCGGCCCGAACTCCCCAGGCCCGATCTAGCGGATTACTGAAATGACCATAGACCTACTACTAACATGAATTCAACAGATCCTTCTGTGTACACTAACCTTAACCCTGACGAATGTTTTCAGTGCGAACGCAGTGAACGATTATTTTCGCCGTTATTTCGCAAACGCCACACCCTTCTCGCATTTATGTTCCACCACTGGAGTTATGCATTCTGCACCCTAAAACGATATGCAAAATTTCTGCAATTTAACTATTTTCATTCACACCTGTACCGTTTAAATGGAGTTTTCAGGGCTTCTGCAATTTGCTCCAAATATACTGGCTGATAGACGTGCTGCCAAAAAGGCACTGTTGGAGTGAACATCCTAAAAACAGATGGATAGATGGAGCATCCAACTCCCAAAAAAGTCCCCACCACATACGGAGGCTCTTAACTTCTATATTTCGTTGGCGTGAGAATACGCAATCAGGGCTTGAGGGGAATGGGGCATCAAGTTAAGAATTAGCTTTTTAAAGAAACCTTATTCATGCCGGTCTAAAAAACTAAATTATTGAGGATGAGTGACCATAAATCCCAAATACTATTGATGCTTTTATGAGGGGAGGCTGGGCAGGATAGGGAACTTACGGCACTGCAGCTAAGGACTTTGGAGGGATTGATTCAGGCTCGATGTCCAGGTACCGGCTGAAAAAGCTAAGGATTCCGTTCAGATCCCGTTCATAAATTCTAAAAAGAGGTTAACAAAGGTTCCGTTCAAAACTTTAATAAAGCAGTAGGGTTCGTGTAATGGGGGTGAAAGCATGCAGACGGCACGACTGCTGGTCTGCAGTTCTTCTAACAATTTCGACATGAATTCGCAAACTATTTACTTTTTATCTAACGCTGTAACCCCGCCTAAGTAATTGCTTCTGCTTAATTCTATGGTTCATGGATTTCGGTGCCTAAAGCACTTATTCGTTTTTGCATATTAGACCCTGGAGTCAATGGCATCGTGAACCAGCGCGGTCAGTGTCTTTCCAGTCTCCGACACTGTCAGCGCCGGCGTCATCTCCTGGCTTGGCTTCGCTTCACCTCTTGGTTACAGAGCAGGGAAGGGCCTCTGTTCAGATCGTCAGTCGGTGAAAGACACCGGAGAAGGCTGAAGGCCATGGAGTTCCGATTTCGAGACACCGTTCTTCGGCCGATGAATTCTTTGAAACCACCGACCATCAGTTTGGCCACTGCAGCGTTCGAATAGACAGGGGGGCGAAAACTAGATGGTTAAGCACGGACTATAGTTCCTCGGTGGAGCTTCAAGGTAGGTCGACTTCAAACTAGGATAAGTGTCCGTTCACCGATCTGGTCGTAAGATGTGACATGCGTGGTCCGTTCTTAGCGCAGCCAAGAAGACGTGGGTCAGTGGCTCAAATGGTAGAAAAACCAGCTCGGATGTTGGACAAACAACTGGTTCCAATTCAAGTCTCGAGTTTCCAGGCCTGGGATTGTAGTTCGGCTGAATGATAATGAGAGTAATTAGTCTCTCTGGCTTTTTCCTAGAAAGGCTTCTATAGATTGAGTTTTTCGGCATGCTCAAGGTCTCGGAAAATGCCCTCGTGGTGACGGAATGAAGTGACTCAAGCTGCATCTGTCATCTAATAAGACCGCTGCCTCATGTTATGCCAGCACTGACGATGAATTGGAACTCTCCTCATTGTATGCTAGAACTTTAGCTCGTGAAAGTCATCGAGGGGTCCGAATCAAATTCAGAATTCTCATGGGCAAAAAAGGTGGCGTCGGGAACATCGTTGACAGATTTTTCTCGCCTAGGCCGCATGCTGTTGCGAATAGGCAGAGACGGGCAGTCACCGTTGTCAAACAAGATGTCGCTGTCTTGGGACTCATTAAGGGGTGAATATTTGACTGGGAGGCCCCCCCACCAGGACCCATACCCCTTCCACAGCGAGAGGAAATTCCAGTGATCCTTCTTCGGTAGTTGAATTACTTCCCGCTCGGGCAATATGGTTTTGAAGATCGAGAACAATTTGCGCGTCCATATCGAGTAAGAAGTACGGCAGGTATTAAAACGAAAAATCGAAAAAAAAATCGAAATCTGAAATATGACCGGTTGCCCATAAGACATGACGTGAACAGACTTCTAGCCTTTTTGGCCCAAATGATCAGTGAAGCGGCGAATATAAATTAAAGCAAAAAGGGCAAATTTGGTCTAAAAGACAGCTCACCCCTGAGCAGTTCGATGATCCCGACTGATCATTTGGGGGAAGTCGATGAGAATGAGCTTAACCATCTCCAGATCAATCTGCTCGTCTGTCCCCTCTTCTTCGGGCCCAAAGCTGTCGAGTGTCCTGTCCGAATGAGAAATACCGCTAACCAGAAGATTGAACTCATTAAAGTCCCCGTGCACGAGGCCAGCACGAGTGATGCGGTTGAGGATATCTACGGCTTGTTTGTAGAGGAGGCTGGCCACGGCGCCGTCGCTGGCTCGTAGAATGGACGGTAGGACGCGGCAGAGGGGAATGGCATTGTCGAGGAGGGACATTACTACGGCATTTCGATTGCAGGCCAGTGGACGAGGAACAGGCAACCCACTATCGTAAAGAACCTGCATCATGCCGTATTCACGCGAGGCGGCCAGACGGTCGAGGTAGAGCCACGAGCAAGTGTTTCTGTGCTGGTGATACTCGCGCTTCTCTCTCACCTTCCTAAAGGAGGTTCGACCGAGACGATGGAACTTGATAACGACGTAGTCTCCCTTGGCGGGTAATCCCTCCGGGGTACAAGCAGGGTCCCCATTTTCGTCCGGCCGACCGGCGCGATCACCTGCGACGGCCAGGTAGACGTCAGACTCCTTTCCAGCTCCAATCATGGAGCCGAGATCGATCAGCTGTCCAGACTTGATGAGAGCGTGGAGGGCGAGGTAGTCATAACCTAGATTTGTCAACCGATAGCCGGAATAGGCTGAAAATAGAGAAAAAATACGCAAGGCTATCTGGCGGGCAACTCAGGGCTTCTTTTTTGCATTAACAGACACAATAATCAGGCCTACTGTTGTGGCCATTTCACTGTGCAGCTTAACAAATAAGATCATGGTCATCATCGTTGCGGAGAACTCACCTCTCCGAGCGTCAGTTTCGTAGGCCAATAGACCGTGCGGCACGAGTTCGTCCCTGAGTAACTTGAGAAAGCTGGAGCCACGTCGAGCGCAACGAGAGATTTTGTGCACAAGATCGGCCGGAACAAATTCGTGGTTTTTCATGCCCATTTCTACCTAAAAGCAAGAAGGTGACTATCCAGCGCAATGTTAAGACCTACTGCCATAAGTACGCGCCAGGCTTCATTTGTCATATAGCGAAAGTAGTCGATCTTTATGGCCTTCGGCATCTTGTAGATCCTTTCAATAAAATCTAAAAGAATAAAATCAAAAAGGTTACAAAATGACGAAGACTGTTCAGAACCGCCAGGGGCAGAGCGTTGCAAAAACGAAATCCTGGAGGGCAAGAAGGTGCAAAATAAATAAAGACGTGTATATATTGTAACAGATAAATTACGGCAAAAGGGAAGAGTTACAGTAATCGAAAAGCAGTTACGTTGAATTTTTAAAACTGCTACTGAACCAGCATAAATTTTGTTCCATCTTAAAAGGACTGCGCTACCTATAAGAGTACAAAATTGGACAAAGGGTTAATTTTTCAAGTGTACACTGGGTGGAACAGGTTTCAGGCGCATATAGTGAATAGTTGGGGAGGGTGGAAATCCTGTTAAAGTAGTCAGCCAGAAACATACGCCATAAGAGGGACACGTCACTCGGTTGACGAGTAAAGTATCTGCCTTACTGGGGACTATTCAACCTACTACTCGTATTAACGTGGGCGGACTTCATCTATTCGGCTGTAGTTTCTATATTAAAGCTAAGTAACGCGTCGCAAGTCTAAAGCAGAGTGGCATGAGCCGTTGTCAGTGTGTTCTAGACAGCCATGGGGGACTTGAAAAAAAACAAATGGAGCTCGACCTGTGAACAAGGATCTTGGTCCGAAATGTGCAGGTTGCAAGCGGTCTTGTTTGATAAATGGTAACATTTGTATTATTAAAATATCTGCCTTTAGTTTCGGTCTTCCAAAGATTAGCAGTTGGTCGAATATTCGACTAACGGCTCCCTAGGTTACTGCCAATGCAAGGCCTACGACTGACTAACCGTTGGTATTTCATTTTACCCGTGCGAAGAAACTTCGGCGATTGAAACAGATTTTAGCAGTTCCTCCATCGCGTAAGCGCTGCAGAACATTCATTGGCGAAACTCTTGATTTATTTGCTTTGTCTCCCCTGATAGCATCATGCTCACCCAGGGCTAGCCCATACACTAAGCCAGTTTTGAGATTGACATCTCAGCAGTCCCTGCAGGAGCAACTCTCCTAGCAGTCATTTAATGTGATTCGCACAAGCTGTGCCCAGCCAGCTAAACGGATCCCTGGTCATACGCCAAGCTTCAAATTACGGCCGCTAGTGCGGGGCTAGACAAAGGCAAGTACAATAATTTCAGGGCCTCACGCAACTCCAAATCTTATGCATTACAAATCATTTTGATGCATAATCGACCTATTACTTACTGGTCCACTGGCCGGAGCCACTCAATTCCAACATCAGCCTAGAACCTCACTGTAAGACGTCAACAAATTTGGGAATCTCCTGCACAGACCAACAAAGCGAAAGTTAAGTAGTTAGCAAGCAAACAGCATAGGCGCAAGATTTTTTAGAATGACACTTGGTTCAGTTGAACGAAAGCGACCCATCAGTGAGAGCGGCTGTGGCACTCAAAACTGCCCTGATAACATTTTCCTGTCATGTTGCCGACTACAGCGGCAACAAAGTTTTTTACGATTGCGCGCCGGTGCGAAGAGCCTCCATCTCACACATACACACAGGCGCGCGCACCGTTTCAAGGGCAGAATCGCTGACATCACGAGTCAAGTAGCCTGCAAAATGCCTAGGACTACAAACTGGATAAATGCTTCTGATGGGAGGACTATCAGTTCGGTGGGCGCGCACACGCATCGAGGCGGCTTGCCTTCTGGAGTGGGGCTGTCGTCTGAGCGAGTGAGTGTCCACTGCTACCCAGCTTTGGATCGCACCTGAAGGGGCTGAAAAGAAACCCCAGCTACGCTATCACGATACTGCAGTTCAAAACTCATTTATGGGAATTCGCAGATGTTTAGGTCTCGGACAAGTAGAATAAGGTCATTTATGCTTATAAATGAAGTTGTGGAGGACATTAAGTAGCGACAAACCCACAAAAAGCACCGGCGTGTAGTGGGCAGCAAGTTATCCGCGCCGCCTTAAATTAAGTGTAGTAAATTGACATGTATATCGAGTATCAGATAAGCTCAGATTTGCTAAAGGTCTATAATTCTTTGTGGCATAATTGAGAGTATTTCCCAGACTGATGAGTGATATGGTGCTTTTCTGCAAAACTCCGCGAAATTCGTAATCTCAATTTGATTGCGTGGACTCTTCCTGCCGGGATTTGACAAAAAGGTTTAAATGTTTGATCGTTATTGTAGCACAGAATTTTTGCGTCATTACGTCATAGTTTGCGTCAAATTTGCACAATCTTCCTCAGGAATGTGGAGTTTCCATCCGATAAAAAAAATGTTCTCAGTTTATTGGCCGCTCCTTCCACCTAACCTAGAACTAAAAGCCCACTCTTATTTGCTTGCAAGTATTATTTCCTCTGGAACAACCGTTAAATCCGTATCGGACCTTCCAACAACCTATCAGACTTTTCTAGGAAAGTATTGCGCCTTTATTAGAGCTCATGATCGATTAACTTTCTACAGTGGAGGACTATGGCTCCAGAATTACCCGAGAGATTAAATCTTATTGTCCTATATTAACATTCGACCGAAAAAACAAGTACCCATTCGCAGTGCCTAAGGATGATAATGGCGTAGAAGTCGTCGAAAACCGCGGGAAACCTGAGTATCCGTGGCAGTTCTTCGCCACGGTATTCGCTGGGGAAACGGGGTTCCAGAATCACAATATTAGTAATGCTACTATAAACACCGGTCCCATGCCTAAATATACACTCTTCCCGGTATCTATCGTGGAAGGCGGGCTACGGAATCCCAAACATGCGGAGTCGTCAGGCATAGACAATGTACCAGTCAAATTCTTGAGAGAATTGACAAGCGAACTCTGCAAACCACTAGCGCACATCTTCCATTTGTCATTCGAGTTAGGGGACTGCAATCCGAATGAATGACAGTAAGTATCTACCCGACATACAAGATTGGACTCGGATTAATGTTAATAATTGTCGGCCCATCAGTCTCACCTGCAATTACTGTAAAATAATGGAAATCATACCATGAAAATAACAACCAGGTTCCTGGAGAAAAGCTATCGCGGCAGACTTGGCCGAGAGTGAGACCCTGGCTACTACGACCCTCAGGCCCAGTCCCAAAAGGAAACAGAAGGCGGACGCCAGTGGGGAGGATAATATATTCCGTACAGTACAAATGGAAAAGAAGTTGGACAGAGTTGACTGCCGGGCAAGGGAACGTCCGGCGCCGGTAAACGGCGTGCCAAGTGTTTCCACAGTGTCTTAAGCCAGGACACTTCTGACTCGGCCTTGGATCTGATTAGCCAGGTGAAGAGCCGAGTGGGCGAATGCCAAACAGCCCGAATGCGCGCGTGCAGACACCCGCTAGAGGCCCAGCGTCGACAAAGACACTCGGAGGAGGGCCGGTACAGAATTACTTACTCTCAGGGCTCCAGCACGGCTTTAGGCGGAAGCGTTCACGTCTTTCCTGTCTAGTGTCCTCAACTGAGCAGTGGGATAACTCGCTGGACAAAGATGGTAGGGTCGGCGTCATCTACACGGATTTCAAGAAGGTGTAGCAGCCTTCTCGCTGTCCCCTCGTTCTATTGTATACGCTCTACGGCTGCGCACGCTAACCGTCGATCTGTCCTGCTTCAATCCCGTCCACAACACATTCCTGGTCGATCATTTGCCACTACTCTCGCGTGTTGTCGAAGCCAATCAACGCGACCTCTTGCGCTTATTTGCTACAAGTACACATACGGGACGCCACCCTTGCGGACGTGACTTTTAACAGACAGTACAGAAGCAAAAACAATACACAGCACCTTTTTTGTGGTAACGACACACAGAAGGCACCGCAAGTGACGCTCTCCAGAACGGACGCTTATCCCTGTCACAAGCATACAGCCAGCTGACGGCGACCTGCCCTGTGCACAAAATGAACCTGTCCTCACAACTTCCTAACTTCTGTTACTAGTCGGAGTAAAATTATTGTATTTGGTTTATCTTACTGAAGGCCACATACAGGCCAGTCCTGACCGACCCGCCTACGTACCATTTTATGAAATCCGTTACACAATGCCATATAAAGCTGACATTTATTTCGGACATGTTGATGTCCGACTATATTCCTTTCCTTACCGCCACATGCAGGCCAGTCCTCCATGCATTTTTCTGATGCTATTTTTTTGACGGTTTTTTTTCTCCTGTTAAATTAATACAGTCATTTTTAAATTTTGCTATGGAGTTTTTTTCACCCCTCGTTTTTCATTTTGCTTAACGGACTTCTAATCTCTGAAATTATGTATTGCACTTTGTACAGATTTTGCCTACCTCGTCTAAAATTCGCATGTAAATTTATTTTTACTTGCTTTGATGGGACCCCGACGGGTCTTCAATAAAAATAATTGAATTGAATTGAACTGATCTTACATCCTTGACCACTAAAAAGGCGTTCGACAGCCTCCCACACAAATGCCTAAACCATACACTGTCTGAAATTGGATTTATTGGAAAGCTGCTGACATGGATCGCAGGTTTTCTTACAGGAAGATTGCAAACCGTGTGTGTTTTTTCCTCCGAGTAAAATCCTACTCCCGTTCTAAGTGACGTCTTTCAGGGTTCAATCCTACGGCCGTTGTTCTTCCTACTTTATATCAACGACTATGCCGACGGCCGGAGAGTCAGCGCCGTCATGTCTCCTGGTGACGCTAAACAGTCGACAGACATCAGATCCGGGGCAGACAGTCACGCGCTTCAAAAGAGTCTCAACCGACTAAACAGCTGGTCAGCTCTTTGGCTCCTATATTTACTCTCGGCAACTGTGTGGTCCTGTGACACCGCACCAGAAGGACCGGTGAGGAGGATGATCCCTCTCGACGTCTCCTTGATATGTTACCCCATTCAAATAGGCCAGTATGTCAGTATATTTTAAGCGTGACAGGCAATGCTTTTGAAATCCCTATTAAAAACGGCTCATCAGCCAATAATTGTTTGCACTTGTTCTACCTCCACTCTTGTGAATGGGATATATATTCGCTACTTTCCAATCAGTGGGGAGAATGCCTCGCTCAAAGGACGACTGAAAAATATGCAAAAGCGGTCTGGCGAGTCCGCAAGCCAACTCCTTCAGAACTAAGCCGCTATTTGGTCTGGACCTGGAGACTTAGATACCTTAAGGACTAGAAGTCCCTTTTTCACATCTTCTTCTATGAAGTCTATGTTTACCAGTATTTCGTCAGTTGTTCCAGTAGGTAATCGTGCCTCGTCAGTGTTCGTTTCATCACTGAAAACATATGCGAAAAACCGCCTAAGATGTTTGCTTAGCGTCATTTTCGATGATATCCTCATTGTTTTCTCCCTTCAACACTGAGGCCGTCTATTCGTTCTTTAACCCGCTGTTGATGTAACTGAACTGCTCATAATGAGATGGTTGTTGTGTTGTTGCAAACCTTCTCCATAGTTTGCTTTTCCGGTTTACTTCTTTCTTTATATCCCGCCTTATCCAGGCAGGACGGCTATTCTTTTTGACCCTCTTTGTCGGACAGTTTCGATGCATGATGTCGGTTAAAACTCCTTTGATAGTGTTCCAATCAAAATCTGGATGCTCGGTAAGGACATCCTTCCAGTCCACTTCCAATAATTCACTTCTCATGGCGGTAAAATCTCACCAGAAATTCAGCCGAGGCTCAGTCGTATTCATTTTTTGTCTGCATAGGCGGTATTCTCAAAACAGCATGACACGGTCACTCTTACCCAGCGGTGCTATGGACTTAATTTTGCCAGGACTTATTGGGTCTTTTGTAAAGACGAAGTCCAGACAATTTGCTCTTTGGTCCTCTGTGCTCCTGGTTGGAAACGTGACGTTTTTTTACCAGAAAGAGATTAGCCGTTAGTTTCAAGAGCCTGTTCTCAGTACCTCTTGGTTTTGTGTCACCTCTTCATTTAAGCCGCACATCCTCCCGTCAACCTCAGGAGTAAGATTAGGCGGTCTATATATGGTCAGGAGATTCAAATTAGGTGCACCACGCATCCTTGGTTTTAATCACTGTGCTTCCCAGTCGTTGGAGCAATCATTTTTGTGTTCTGACGCGATGATTCCTCTCTTGATGTAGATCGTTAGTCCCCCTCCTTTTTATGCCGTCTGTTTCGACGAAAAGGTTAATGTTCATCAAGTGCAATTTCGGCATCCAAGACTTCAGCATAGAACCAAGTCTCTGTGATAGCGATGACATCCGGATGTGGGTCTGATATCCCCACTTTCAGCTCATCTAGCTTCTGGAACAAGTTCTGAGCATTTGCATTAGGAAAGCGGAGCTTAGCCAGGACAGATTCCCGAACGATTTTTGGGTCGAAGTCGCTAGATATTTTGCGTGAGTTTTCGGGTACATCGTCCCCTTCCGAGTCTGCTGCTGTTTCATTGAAGTGGACGTCAATGTGTTGACCGTCATTGTCTTAGGTCGGTTTGGCAGACATGAGCGTTCTTTCCTCATAATCTGTTTGTCCACTATGCTCAATGTCATTGGTTATTTCCATAGGAATGATCTCTGAATATTTACGATTCCCCATTCAATATTCTTAGCTTCTTCTCGCCGGAATTGTATCTTCTGAGGAATTCGGCCTCGAGTCCTTTTCAGTGTCCCGTTTGGCCGGTTAGAAATCCCGCTGAAAAAAATTGTTGTGTGGGCATCTCAGAGTGCTGATTTCCTGCCCAGCAGCAATAAAGCTTTTTCCTCATTTTCGAGAACAATTTACACTTTGATGGTTCGACCCGCTCCTGGAACCCTTAATTGTTGAGGAACAGAAAGACTTCGGCGTACTTATAACCTGCCTGCTTATACCATTGTTGCAGTGTCTGTAGACAGCCAAGTTCGGAATATGGGCGTTATTTGTGCGGATTAATAAGCAGTTGTTCGGAAAAACCTACGGAGAATTCGTTCGGTCTCAATTAGAGTATGACGTCCGGGCCTGAGGTCCGTCGTACGAGAACGATCATCAACAGATGTAAAGTGTACAGTTGCGAGCTCCGAAGGTGGTAAAGAATTTTAGTCATCTCCCGTACCAGACCAAACTAACCGAATTACGTTTGTTTGGTTTCAATTACAGGCAACTGCGCGACTATCTCATTCAAACCTACCAGGCTGTGAGAGGCCATGAGCATGGCCTTGATTTTGACGACTTCTTTGAATAGGCTGGGATGGACCGTCTGCTTTTTCATCTCCTTAAGCTGTAGAAAAAATAAGTCCATGCAGAAGCCCGACGGGGTACTTCGCAGAAGGTCACTGGAGCATGGGATGGATTCCTGAATCAGTGCGTTTTTCAGAGACTGTTTACACACTTCAAAGCAAACTAGACACTCATTTACAGGAAAAATGCTGCACATATAATCGCAATTGCGTCAGTGACGACAATTGGCGCCTGGCTTACAATAGAGATGACTATGAAATTTCCAGAATTGCTGGCGTGACAATTAAATTTTTTGACATTTTTTAATATGAATAGGGAGCCCATGGGCGAAAGCTTTACTTGCTTAATAAGGTGACTAAAACTGACTTTCCTCATGCTTTACGAATGGCTTTGCCAGGACTTTAAGAAAAGAACATCGAGAGTTTAGAAGGCCGTCCTCGAAACATCTTGTCCGCTCACGATTTGAATTCTACTTTTGGCTTCGCTCATCGCGATCTCCAATCAGAAATCTGACTTTCGCAGTCTAGGCACCATGACCTCCACAAAACACAAGGTTCCTCCCGGACCCACCTTTTGATAACCATTCGGAGTTTCGTCACTCATGCCTAATAACCCACCTCAGTTTCGCCTACAGTCCACTCTCAACAGGATGTCGTTCTCGTCGCTACGGTGGTTTAGTTCTGCTACCCTCTCGGCCACATTCCATGCCTGTCGCAGCCCAGATTTCCGGTGAGCGCATAGAACGACGCTCCGGGCTCACTCGCTGCTCCGACTTTACAACATCCATAAGGAACAAAATCTTGACGTGAATTATCGCCGACATGTTTTCAGTTTTCATGAGTCCTCACCGATGCCTTCGCATGCCCACAATCATTCCCGTCAAATGATACAGAATAGGACTTAAAAATGTGTCTTTAAGACACCGCATGGTGTTTGTAAATTTATTATTGCAGTCATGATAATACACTGATTACTTTAATAACAACTACATTACTCATACCGTACAAAAGGTTTTCTTCTTCTTCAGCAGGGACCGTTGGTGACCAGTGGAATTTACCTCTACAGTTAGGTGCCGATGTCCTCTGGTCTCCATGGCTGAGGCTTTCACGTTTGCTGAAAAATGTCCCTCGATCCGCGCGGTCAGTTGATTTTGTGACTGATTTCCTGTATTCGTTTGATTTTAACTACAGAATAGCCGATGCAAAACGCTTGTCCTCCCGTAGCAAAAACCCGCCCGCCTTAGTTAAATTATTTTCATCAGTCGAGGTCGACGCAATCTTTGCCCATCGAGATCGTGTGTCTACGTACCTGGAAAATGAAAAAATTTTCTTTGTCATGGTGTCACCCTCATAGAGCGCAGAATCGAGTCCCTCTTCTCACGTAAACCCACAGCTTCTCGGTCAAATGCTCATCAACTCAGGTATAATGCAAGTGGCAGTGAGGATTCTGCTAATCCTACTCCTGCTACATCGGACTCCCTTTTTCCTACATCTCCCTCTCACACGGGCCACTTAACACATTCGCCTACCTATGAAATAACAGCAGCAGCAGCAGCAGCAGCAGCAGCAGCAGCAGCAGCAGCAGCAGCAGCAGCAGCAGCAGCAGCAGCAGCAGCAGCAGCAGCAGCAGCAGCAGCAGCAATAGTTGTCGTTCCAAATCCTCCTGATAGCCCGCCTAGGACGCATGAAAATCCGTCTACATTAGCTAGACCGATAACTTCCCCAGTCCAACAGGGTGCTGCAAGTTCTACAGTTAAGCCACACGTAGCATGGCGCCAGAACGGCGAGACTCCAAAACTGAATCACACTTGACTCAAAAGAAAGGTAGTACAATTCCATTTAGGGGTACGCCGCCTTCTCTTGGATCTACCAAGCCTTTACAGCCCAATGCGTCTACAAACCCCGCAGCTCCAATTATATCCCCGAATAATTCTCTGTCCTGCGTACCGGTTACTTACCAAAGCCCTACTATATATCCAGCAAATAATTCATACATGAATTGCCCTAAGTCATTCATGCCCCATTCTAGTTCAGGCTTCCCACCACTTAAGGCCAACTGCTCTCAAGTAAGTCAATCTAACTCTTTAGACTCCCAACCTAGACCTGGTTTCCCATTCTTTTGTTCTTATAGCTGCCTACCATTCCCCACCAGCCTCTACCTTCCTTCTAGTCTCTC